TCAAGTGGTCAGTACCACTCCCAGCTGGGAACTGCAGCAAAGCACGAGCCAAGAAAACTGCTGCAGAGTGTTAGGAGTTGCATTAGGAATGTGTGAGGATGTTTGCTGCACTGCACCAACTGATATCCAAAAGTACTGCTCAGCTCCTTCCCAGAACTCACAGCCTCCCGTGGGATTTAACTGCACAGGGAATCACTCTGTGTGAGGAAAGAGGATTATTCTGTACTCACCAGCACACGAGCCTGTTCTGGGGTGAGGACATCTCCCTCCTTGCAGACTTCGTAATCTGAGAGCAGAGTCACCACTCCTGCAGGAACAAAACCCTTGGAACAGGCTCCAGGTACTGGGTACCTCCCTGGAATGTGGGGTGCAGAGCCAGGACTTCCTCCAGTACCACCATTTGGAGCCTACACCTTTCCATTGGTGTCCCCCAAGGAGCTGGGTGACATCAGCTCCAAAAACCCACATTTGGTTTCTGGATGGGTTAGCTCCAGCTGTTTCACTAGGAAAGGATATCACAGTAAGTTAAGGGGTTGGAATGGAGTTTAGAGATGATCCAGCCCCAGCCCCAACCCCTGCCCTGGGCAGGGACACCTCCCACCAGAGCAGGTTGCTCAAGGCTTTAGCCAACCTGGCTGTGAACACTGCCAGGGTTGGGGCAGCCACAGCCTCCCTGGGCAACCTGGGACAGTGTCTCACCACCCTCACAGGGAAAATATCTTGAAATATCTTGTAGAAACTTGGTTGTTTCACTCATCCTTTGCCATGAGTTTGGGAAGAACAGCACAAGAAGGACATCAGGAGTCCTAGCACCAGCCCAAAAGGAGAACATTGTCCATTGGGTTTTTCCAGATTCAAGTTCTCCTCTCTAACATTCTCCATAAGAGATGCTCCCTGCAGAGCCAAATCCCAGAGCTGCCATTCCCAGCCACCCCACACACCTTTCTTCAGTGCCGTGGGCAGTCCCAGCTGCCGCAGCTGTGGCTCCATGGAGTGAGGGAACTGCTCCAAGGGCCCTGTGTCCAGGCTCACCCCGAACGTCGCCTTGTTCCCCGCGCGGGCAAAGTCCATCTCCCGGAACTTGGAGAACCACCTGGGACAGACATGAGCAACAGCTGCTTCAGCCATGGAAAGAACAGCCCTTGGACACAACAGGGATGAGGGCACAGCCTAAGTGCTGGTGTTGCCCAAAGAAGCTGTGGCTGCCCCATCCCTGGGAGTGTTCCAGGCCAGGTTGGATGGGGCTTGGAGCAACCTGGGCTGGTGGAAGGTGTCCCTGCCCATGGCAGGGGGTGGCACTGGATGGACTTTAAGGTCCCATCCCATCCAAACTATCCTGTGATTCTGCTTTAAGGAGTGAAGGAGCCAAGTGGGAACAAAAAGGCTGTGCCAGACAGGTACTTACTCATCCACCTCCTCCCTGGTGCGGTTGGTGAAGAGGAGCCCAACTTCCCCCCTCAGGTGTTTGCTGACCTGGAAGAGAGGAACATTCCATGGAGCTTGGGCAGCACAGGGAATCAATCACCTCATGGGCTCAGCCCTGTGCACTGCGAGAGCTCCACCAGCAACACATCCTTTGTGTCAGGACATGGGTAGACTCAACGGAAACACCCACAGACCTGTGACCTGAGGAGCTCTGGAGTCCCAGGATGTTATTCCATGATGTGGAATAAGGCAGGGAAAGCTTTAGGACCCACATGCAAAGCACTGAGCCCTCACCTTGTGCAGGTTCTCCTTGTACTCGCTGCTCGGCTCACGGCCCAGTGCCACCATCATCACCTTGTTCTTCCCAAAGAAGATCCTGGGGGAGGAGGAAGAGCAGGAAGATGAGGGTGAGGCTGTCAGCCCTGGGATCACACACCCCTCAGGCACCCCCTGCCCACCTGCTGTGCTTCCAGGCATTCCGCACGTCCTTCAGCTTGTTGTTCCTCATGTTGGCGACTGAGAACACGAAGATGTACTTGTAGGTGTCCACACATTGTCGCAGCTGCGGGACAGCCGTTACCAGGACAGGGACTGGGACTGGGATAGGGCCAGGAGGCAGGGATAGGGATTGGGATAGGGACAGGGTCAGGGTCAGGGATAGGGACAGGAGGCAGGGATAGGGACAGGGACTGGGATAAGGACAGGAGGCAGGGATAGGGAT